ACGAGAGCATCATATAGCATGTGAAAATCACATCTAAGTCTAACATACTTCCTATGCTGTAGCGATCCGACCTCAGGCGGTCAAATCTCTGTGTATAAGTGTTATCTCTGGATCGGTAATGCTGACACACACAGTACTTGAATGATTTATAACAGAGTGGCAATCACACACTTATTACATAGAATGTCTCAAAAGAGAACTTATTACAATAAATATGGCTTAATAAAGATAGCAGCGGAAGGCTTGGAAGATAAAGTGAGTCCATCAACTCCAACGGCATAGCTGAGTGCACGACAATGACCTAGCGCACCTTACTCTTCGTCTGAAAAAGTCTGCAACATGATATGTTGCAGCCCGAAATGGGTCAGCACATGGAATATGCTGGCAAGATAACACAATAGAGCAATGAACAAGTAAAAGCTATCACTACATGCATATATGGCTGGTGGAGGCTCTATGGTTATAATGTTTTGCGAAAAGCCGATTTTCCCTACAACAAAGGAATATATTTTATTTAACTATCATGGTAGTTGATAAACATTGAGAATGGTAAATCCCCATCTCAATCCCAATTAAAACAAGTAATTAATGACCCAACAAAATTAATTTAGAGTGATGAGATCAACATGATAATTCAAGAACCAGATACTCAAGATGTCCATAACCGGGACACGACTAATCATGATTAGTTTGTACACTCTGTAGAGGTTTGCGCACTTTTCTCCACAAGACTCGATCTCCTCCGTTGGATTTCTCGCACTACATGGTGTTTGAGAAACGGATGACCGAGACACAGTCTTTCAAAAGCACTAACTCTTTACTCTGGGTGGACAGGCACACCTACTTTCCCCTACATCTGCTAGCCCACCACTGAAAGAGGTCATGCAACATACTCAACTATGCTAGAGCCCATAATAGCTTGTGGCTGCACACGAAAGTTTATAGCATGAATAATCTTATGATCCCTTTGAGCCTGGGTGGCGAACCAAAAGGATAGCACTGGTATATCCCTAGGTACCCGCAACCAATCCACCCAGATGTGTGTTTAAGTAGCCACTTTAAGTTAACCATTAATGAACAATCTCACATCTATCGTGGATACACTCAAACCCAATCCACGTCTACGAGCATAGCATGGCAATATAAGCATCATGTAGAAATAACTCCCAAGGGTTTGATAATAAAAGGGCAATATGATCTACCTCATCATCTACTTCCCAAACCCACATGTTAAGAGATCCTACTCATGCAATGTTTGATGATTGTGTCTAATGCATAAAAACCGGGTAATAAGGGGTATGATCAATGTGTTACTTGCCTTGCTGATGATCCGCAAAACCTAGAGACTCATAGTAGCACGCTGCGCACTCCGGAAATTCTATCGCAAACAAACAATAGTATACATAAGCAATCAAGCATAGACGCAAGGGGAAAACTCAAATAAGAAGATCCAAGTCTTAAATTTCAACTAAAGAGATTCGATTTGCAAAAAGAATCGATCAAATCAGAACTACGGAACTGAAACTACGATCAAAAGAACTTTAAATTCAAATTTGCTTGAAACCAAAGCTTAAATTGGAAAAATCATGTTCAAGTTGATTAACTGGAAAGAGGGGCTCGAGACGAAGATTTTGGCGTTGGTTTCACTGGATTTGGACGCACTACACCACGGTAGAGGTTAGGTGACACACTTCTGTGGGCAAAGGTCTATTAATCTCTATAGGAGATCTGTCGGTGTAGCTTTGAAGCTTTGTAATCAGATCATATGTCGGCCAATGTACATAATTATGGACAAACTATGTGTTGGAAATCATGCAACGACGATGTATATGTCGGCAACCACTTACTGACATATCATCTGTCGGTAGATGTGCGCGTCCTGATAGTTTTTCAGTCGGCATAGGTATGTGTTTAACGACATAAAATATGTCGGCGTAGGTAGGGTGTATGGACATAGATTAAGTGTCGGCGTATGTGGACACATGTCAAGCAAGGAAAGGCGAAGCAACTGCCGCGTGAATTAGGCGCGAGAGGCCAAAAATTTCGCTGCTGGCGGCCCACTTTTCACCTCACCTTGGCCAAGTACCCCCAAAGGAACCTGTAGCCTCACATCCCCTCACTTTAAGAGAGAATTTCTTATTTAACACTGTCTAAAAATTTTGTTTCTTATTTGACACTGAAAAAATATTTCTTCCCTATCTAACACAACCTTTAAATTTTATTCCCAATATAACACTTCCATCCATTTTTTGTGCAAATAGTGTTAAATGGCACATGAAATGACAATTGTGCCCTCAGACATCTATTCAATCATTTTCTTTATATTAGACTTAGGTTTTCTAGTTCTAATCAAGTCTCTGATAGTGCATAGACGTGCTTACTGTCAAGACTGCTTCGTGCTTACCGTTAAGACTGCTTTGTACAACAGGAAAAAAGATTGAGAAGTGTAAAAAATTGCAGGAGCGACATGACCAACAAATCTCTTCGACCTGTTTGTTCTATTCACCAAGCTAACGCAAGCAAGACTCAACGCTCAAGTACGTACATACATACGCGGCTAGAGACAAGCACGTTCTGCATCTAGGAAAAAATTAATCAAGCTGCATGTATTTCTGAGCTAGCATTGCACGTACGTGCGCTACTTGGGTGAATCGACTTGGCATTCTAAAACTGACACTTCACCACGGGCTCACGCAACACTCGTCCGCTCCTGTCCGCTGCGCCTTCGACGTCCCCACCACCATGTCTTGAGAAGTTTTTCAGCCAGAATCAGGGGTAAACTTGTCATTTCACGTGTCATTAAACACCGTTAGGTCAAAAAATGGACGAAAGTATTATATTAGGAACAAAATTTAAAGTTGGTGTTAGATAGGGAAGAAATATTTCTTCAGTGTTAAATAGGGAAACGAAATTTAAAATAATGTTAAATAAGGAATTCTTCTCACTTTAACCCTATCCGCCCCGCCCCTGCCCCCAATTTCCTCCGCCGCCGCCGTCCTCGGACCCGTCCCTGCCGCCACCGGCGGCCATAGCCTCGAGCTCCCGCCCCTGCATTGCCTGCCTTCCCTTGGCCTCTTCGCTGCCACCACATGGGCATCTTCGTTGGCCCGAGTCCCCACCGATGGTGGTGAGAATATCCCATTTCCCCTAACCCCATCGCTGCATGCCTTCCCCAGTGCCGCGGCCGTCGACAGCCCCGTCCTCCGGGGCCTTCACCGCCCACCGCTAGCTGAGGTCCAAGACAGCGCCCTCCTCTTGCTCCTCTCAGGGAAGGATCTCGTCTCCAGCAAGCTCGACCAGGCGCCCACGCCGCCACCAAAAGCGCGATGTCTTGAAAGGTTTCTGCAAAGTTCGTCTACTCGTCACCAACAGCAACGCTCACCCTCGGCGACTACATAAGTTTGCATATTGGCATGTACCCCCGTTTCTGTTGTATGTGGTCTGTTGCATCCTTAGCCTCTCTGGAATAATTTGTGCTATGTTGCGTCCTAGGAAAAATTATCTTTTGTCTTTCTCATATGCCTGCCTAGTTGGTTGTATCTATTAGATTGGTCTGACAAGCTGTAGTCTGTTCTGTGATGCTTTATTTCTCTAAAAATGCCATGGATCTGAATTTTTCCAGTTACTCTGTTATGGATCTGGTTTAACTCTAATGTTGATGCACTATTGTTCTCATTGCAGACTATTAATGCATTTAGTTCTCTGTGAAAAATTTCAGTTACTTTGTTTGGTTAATTTGTGATGTGCGACTATTTTGTCAGGCATCAAGTAATACTTCTGTTGGTGCGTGAAGTTCAACAAAATAGTGTAAAAGTAAACCTTGATTTTATTTTGGAGACACAAGAAAGACACAGACATATAAAATGTCATAGAGACAATGGCATATATATGTCATTGGGAAAATGAATGCACATGTAGGAAATTGTTGGTCTGGTGTCCTGTTTTAATACTGGTCTGGACCATCTGAATATAAATCCTATGTAAACCTTGGGAACTTATCACTGGATCTTATTGTTGCGTTGTAAGCTTGATTGCTGATCTACAACATGGTTATGCTTTATGTCATGTCTTCACCTTTGTTTGACCTTTAGATTCAGTATGTGGCTCCATGCAAGTTTGATCACTGGCATATAATAATATGATGATAAGCTTCATTGTTTTATTTTCAGGTTGTGCTAGAGGCATGCCGCTGGCACCGATGGGCCCTCATTTATCTTATACAATCCATTTCAGAATATGACGTGGTAAGTCTGCAAATGGAATGGATGGATCCATCATTTTGCCATCCTGATGCTTGTACAGGGTTTCCTTTTTGTTGACCAGTTCAACTAGTCCATCATCTTAAACTAGGCTCGAGAAATGAAGGTTCAGTTTATGAGAAACAATTTAAATATGTATCAGCTTACTATCTTGGCACATGAGCTATTTTTCAGTCAACGCGTGGCGGGTCCACTTGGAACTGAATAGGCACTGGTCCTTCTTCTTCTTACTCTCCATGAGCCCCTTATACTACTGCTATGGTTTATGTGCCTACTTTTAACTCTGTCAACTAAAATTGGGTTGCTTTGTTTCAGCTGATCTGATACTGTGGGTGGGATCTATAGAACAACCTTGAAATCTGTCTGCGACCAGTCCACATTCTGCACCACTCCCACAACTTGAACACCAAGGTCTTTGCCATTTAAGTAAGTCTCTGCACCCCGAATGGCTTATTTCAAAGTGTAGAGGGTAGTTTGCAACTGAATGGCTCAGTTTGTCCTGCGACTGTGTCATGTGTAATTTAAATTCACTACTGCATGCACTAGCCGTTGTAACTGTGGCTCTGTTGTATTAGGGAATGCTCTGCTAATGTTTATTGTGGAACTCATGACCGGTATTTGAAACAATTCAGTGGGCATTACATAACAGCTGGACACTACTTTTATTTTATGGTAGATGGTTGAGAGAATAAACTGGATGGCTGACAATCCGAGAAGGGCGTTGAACAAAGTGGTGGTATCATGGTCAATTATCTGTACAGGTATGCTTTTAGCCTTTTAGTGTGTTTAGAAGTTACAAGATGGCATGATTTGTTTCTCTGTATGTAGGATCTATCTGCATGCATACTATATTTATCGGCTTTATTCATATTGATGTCTTCCCAAAGCAGCTACGTATTAGAATAGAAGCAATAGGGCCCTGAACCAATGAACCCTTTTTTGGCCGATAAAAAGCAGTACATACCTGCTTAGTTCGATAATTTTTTAATACTCCATGCCTTGGAAATTAACTCTACATGCCGTAGAGATGTTGTTCTTTGACTTGAGTGATATTTGAGCGATTAAACTGACTCAGTCCTGTACTTTTTATTCTTAAATTCAGTGTTGTACCTTGATATGCCTATGCCAATTGCACATAATTATAGAGTAAAAAATAGATGCAATTAGTGCAGTTACATACAGTTGTCATCATTACAATGCTCGACACTGAGAAACAAGTTACTAATCCATTTATTCTTGCTGACAATAGCTGGGAACCACAACCACCAGCATGCTGTGTGGGCAATGGGCAGAGAGCAGATGGCTACATCGCTGGGAACCATGGTCACCCACATGCAGCAGATAACGAATGGTGGATGGAAGGCTACCTCGCTGGGAACCATGGTCACCCACATGCAACAGATAACGAATGGTGGATGGAAGGCTACCTCGCTGGGAACCAGGACCATGACTTATTATGGGAAATCGGTGGCGAACGGATGGCTACCTCGCCGGGTACCTCAACTCCTAGGTACATTTTTTGTTTCAGTAGTAATTAGCTTACATGCTATTGCATAAGAACAGTTTCTAAAATGTCACTTTACAAGGTTCCTGGCCTATATATGTTGACACTAAATTGCTTGTGTATATATGTGTCATTGTTTCCTTTTTTATCCATGGTTATGTAGCTCTTAATCATGAAAATCTAGAGAGGTTGTGAAAGAGTTTGTCCTTTCTTCAGTAAATGCATATGTAATAGGCTATAAAATAAGCTACTAGGTTGTATGATCTCTGTTTCAGATGGTCAATACCTTTATTGTTGATAAAACTGCAAGCACAGGAAAATAGTTCTATATAGTACTATGTGAGCAAATAATAACTTTTGTAGAAACTATATTGTTAACTATGATATCATGAGGATTTATTGATCGAATCTGTGTTAATCCACAAATGAGCTTTGAACACCTTGAGCTGATTCCACTTTCTTGGCAATTTTTTGTGAAAATATTTCAGGCACTTGGCCAACTGGTGCATGGACGTGATGACTTTGTGGCGTTTATGGACCAATCAACTTGTAATCATGGATCTTATGTGTCTTCTAGACCATTTGTTGTTTTGTTATTTCGGAGCTTGCATTTTGTGCATGTGGATACAGACTTGTATGTTCTGGACCATCTAGTTGAAGTCTCTCATACCAGCAAATAGCGCTATCTTTTTGTGACTTGTGTGTTCTGGATGATTGTTAAGATGGTAAAAACTATGCTTTGTCAAGATTGATGTGTTTGTCATATGCACGTTTGTGAATATATTTCATTGTTGTACAGTATGTGTTCATCTTGAACCTGCTTCTAGATGTGCGGATAATGATTGCATCTGTTTAGAGCTTGTATATATTGTTTTGGCTGCATGTCTTTACCGGCAATTTATCTGTCGGCAAAAGGCAATATCTGTCGGTGTAGGTAGGGTGTAGTCTGATAGACTATCTGTTGGCATAGATATGGTGTATGTGGCTAATAAAGTGTCGGCATAAGTAGGGTGTATGTGGACACGCTATCTATCGGCAAAGGTAGGGTGTATGTTCTCTTATAAAGTGTCAGCATATGTAGGGTGTATGTGGACATACCATCTGTCGGCGTAGGTAGGGTGTATGGCGACTAAAAAAGTGTCGGGAAGTAAACAACTGTCGGCAATACCTTTGCTCACAGCAAGTCCTCCGACTCTTTCATCTTTCTGTCAGCATTGGTGTTAGCTACAACTCACGGAAGCTCTATCGTGGTGTAGTGACGAACGGTTAAAACGTTGCGAGGGTTTGAAGATCAGGGGCTAATCTACTATAAAAATAATCGTGGATAGATCCCTGGCCGAAAATAAAATAAAAAGAAAAAAACTACGGCGCGAACGTTCGTTAACAGAGACGAACGGGCGAAAAGTGTTCGTTAAAACGAACTAATGAACGAACGTTCGTTGAATAACCTAAACCAAGAAAACCAGAGAAAAACCGAACCGATCTAAAAAAACCGATCTAGGGTTTAAAAAACGGCGGCGGCTTTGCGGGTTTGTTACGGGTTCTCGGGCGAAAATAGGCGGCGGCGGCGAGATCCGGCGGCGGCGCGGGTCAACAGGGTGGCGAGGTGAGGCGGCGCTCCGCGACGCGGCAGGGCAGCAGGCGGCGCGGCGCGGCGGCAGCAGTAGGCAGCTCGGGGCGGCGGCTGCGGCGGCGGTGGTTGCGGCGGTGGGGCGGGACGAGGGCAGAGGAGGGCGGGGCGGCAACATTTATAGTGGGAGGGCCGGCGGTTGACTTGGGGAGGGGGCCGGCCCGAGGTGCAGTCCGGCTTGGACTCTGCCTCTGCGTTCGTGCCGGCGACGGTGCGGCACGAGGGAGGCGATGGCGCGACCGGTCCGGCTAGGCCTCGGCCCAGTTCGGTCCGGGAGTCTTTTTTTAAACAATTCCGCCAAAAGGAAAAATCCTAAATAAATATAAAAAAATTCTAAAAATGCCAAAAACAATTTTCACCATCTAAATAGAATATTTAGAACATAGTGAACACTTTCTTGGCCCAAAAATGCAAATTTCAAAAAATGCATATTTTCTAATTCAAATAAAATAACAAATAAAATTGAAATAAAGTATTTATTTGATTTTAAATATTTTTCCTCCAATATTTCTTTTATTTCAGAGAAGTCATATTATCTCCTCTCTTTAATTTTGTATTGGAAATACTTTTGGAGAGAAAAATAATTAGAACCAAATTGATCCTCTTTTCAATATTTGAGGAAAATTCAAATATGAAAATAAATGAAATCCCCAACTCTCTCTGTGGGTCCTTGAGTTGCTTAGAGTTTCTAGGATCAAAAACCAAAAATGCAATTAAAAATATGATATGCATATGATGACCTATGCATAACATTCCAAATTGAAATGTGGGATGTTACAAACCTACCCCCCTTAAGGTGAATCTCACCCTCGAGATTCGGGTTGGCTAGAAAATAGGTGTGGGTGGTCTTTCCGTAGGTCTTCCTCTCATTCCCAGGTGGCTTCATCCTCGGTATGGTGGCTCCACTGAACTTTGCAAAACTTGATAACCATGCTGCGTGTAACTCGGTTGGCAAACTCGAGAATCTTGCTGGTTTCTCCTAGTACGTCAAATCACTATCCAACTGAATTTCCTCCAGGGGCACTGTATCTCTCAGAGGAATATCGGCTATCTCAGCATGGCACTTCTTCAACTAGGAAACGTGAAACACATCATGAACTCCTGACAGTCCTTCAGGTAACTCCAACTTGTAGGCCACTTCTCCCATACGTTCCAAAACTCGGTATGGTCCTACAAATCTCGGGGCTAACTTTCCCTTAACTCCAGAATGTTTAACTCCTCGCAGAGGTGACACGCGAAGATACGCTTTGTCTCCGATTTCATAGACTACCTCCTTGCGTTTCGAGTCTGCATAACTCTTTTGCCTGGACTGAGCTACCTTGAGTCTATCGTGAATCAACTTAACCTTCTCTTCGGACTCTATGATCAAATCTGGTCCAAACAACTGACGGTCTCCAACTTCATCCCACATCAACGGTGTCCGGCACGTCCTTCCATATAAAGCTTCAAAGGGGCCATATTCAAACTGGCTCGATAGTTGTTGTTGTATGAGAACTCCGCGTAAGGTAAATTATCATCCCAACTAGATCCATAATCTAGCGCACAAGCTCTCAACATGTCCTTCGGAATCTGATTGACTCTCTCGGTCTATCCATATGTCTGCAGATGAAAGGTTGTACTAAACTCTAGCGTGGTACCCAAAGTCTAGTGCAGCTGATTCCAAAACTTCAAGGTAAACCGTGTTCCTCTATCTGATACGATGGTCCTCGGAACTCCATGCAGACATACGATCCTGGTCATATATATCTAGGCCAACTTCCCACTCGTATAGGTGGTTTTCACTGGGATAAAGTGAGCCACTTTGGTCAAACGATCCACTACTACCCAGATTGAATCATATCCTGATCGGGTCCTAGGAAATCCGGTGATGAAATCCATGCCAAGCTTATCCCACTTCCATTCAGGTATCGGCATCGGCTGCAGTATTCCTGCTGGCTTCTGATGTTCTGCCTTCACTCTTTGACATACATCACATACGGCTACATACTCGGCAATATCCTTCTTCATACCCGTCCACCAGAAACGCTCCTTCAAATCCAAATACATTTTGGTGTTTCTAGTGTGTATCGAGTATGGCGAGTCATGAGCTTCCTGAAGTATCAACTTCCTGATCTCTGCATTATTGGGCACATAAACACGGTCCTCAAACCATAAGGTATCGTGCTCATCCTCACGAAAACCTTTGGCTTTTCCTTTGCTCATCCTCTCTTTTATCTCAGCAATTTCCTTATCATCCTTCTGAGCTTCTCAAATCTTTCCTAATATTGTTGACAGAACTTCCAATGCTGCAACAAAACCTCTAGGGACTATCTCCAAACGTAGCTCCCTGAGATCTTCAGCCAACTCCTTTGGTAATCCTCCTCTTATGAGGGTATTGGCATAACCCTTCCGGCTCAAAGCGTCTGCTACGACATTGGCCTTGCCTGGATGATAGTGCAACTTCATGTCATAATCTTTTATAAGCTCCAACCATCTCCTTTGCCTGAGATTCAGCTCCTTCTGTGTGAAAATGTACTTCAAACTCTTATGATCCATGTACACATCACAACAATTTCCAATAAGAAAATGTCTCCAGGTCTTGAGTGCATGCACTACAGCTGCTAACTCGAAATCATGCATGGCATAAATCAACTCATGCGGTCGAAGCTGACGTGAGGCATATGAAACAACTCTTCCATCCTGCATAAGTACACCTTCAAGTCCTAAGCGAGAAGTGTCGCAATACACTTCGAAATCTTTGCGTATATTCGGCAGAATCAGCACTAGGGCTGTAACCAAACTTTTCTTAAACTCCTGAAAACTTGCCTCACATTCTTCTGTCCATTTAAACTTAGCGTCTTTCTTCAGCAACTCCGTCATGGGCTTCACAATCTTAGAAAAGTTCTCTATGAATCTCCGATAGTATCCCACGAGTCCAAGAAAACCGCGGATCTCTCCAACTGAGGTGGGTGCCAACCACTCAGTGACAGACTGAACCTTGGTAGGATCCACTGCTATACCTTCTCCTGATATAACATGGCCAAGAAATCCAACTTCCTTTAACCAAAACTCACACTTGCTGAACTTAGCATACAACTGATGTTCCCTGAGCTTCTCGAGAACTAGATGCAAATGCTCCTTGTGCTCCTCTTCATTCTTCGAGTATACCAAGATATCATCAATGGATACCACAACAAACTTATCCAAGAACTCCATGAATACCTTATTCATCATACTCATGAAGTAGGCAAGGGCATTGGTCAATCCAAATGACATAACCGTGTACTCGTATAATGCGTACCTTGTGGTGAAGGCTGTCTTAGTTATATCCTGTTCTCGGATCTTCAACTAGTGGTATCCTGATCATAGATCGATCTTGGAGAATACTTTAGCTCCTTGCAACTGATCAAACAAATCATTGATCATCAACAGTGGGCACTTGTTCTTGATCGTCACTTCATTTAGTGCACGATAATCAACAACCATTCTCAAAGATCCATCCTTCTTCTCAACCAAAAGTACTGGTGCTCCCCACGGTGACGAACATCGTCGAATGTAACCTTTCTCCAATAACTCCTTAATCCGCTTCTTAATCTCTTCCAGATCATTTGTGGGCATCCGGTATGGTCTCTTTGATATTGGTCTAGTGCCTGGCAACAGCTTGATCAAAAACTCAATGTCTCGATCCAGCGGCATTCCTGGTAGCTCCTCTGGAAATACACCAGGGTAATCCTTCACTATTGGAAAGAGGGGCTCGAGACGGAGATTTTGGCGTTGGTTTCACTGGATTTGGACGAACGGTTAAAAAGTTGCGAGGGTTTGAAGATCAGGGGCTAATCCGCGATAAAAATAATCGTGGATAGATCCCTGGCCAAAAATAAAATAAAAAGAAAAATACTACGGTGCGAACATTTGTTAACAGAGACGAACGGGCGAAAAGTGTTCATTAAAACAAACTAACGAACGAACGTTCGTTGAATAACCTAAGCCGAGAAAATCGGAGAAAAACCGAACCGATCTAAAAAACCGATCTAGGGTTTAAAAA